GAAATAATATTAGGATCCGGGGCCTACCCGAAACTGTGATGCCAGATGCTATACACTCTAGCGTCAAAGAAATCTTCAAAGCCGTGCTCCCAGAGTCCTCAGACCACAAGCTTACAATAGAACGAGCTCACCGTGCCATACACCCCCCCTGGCCGATTTCGACCACCCAGAGGGATATTATAGTAAAAATGCTGCTGTTCCCAGTCAAGGAGAAGCTGATGTCCATTGCAAGAGATCACCCACCTTTATATCAGGACCGTCCTTATACTTCTTCCAAGACCTGACACCTTCAACATTGCGTAAAAGGAGGGAACTCAAACCCCTCGCTCCTGCACTGTCGACTGTGGAAATACATGTGGGGTCATCCCTTCAAGCTTGTGGGGAAAAAAAAGAACCAAACCTACACCTTGCACCAACCCACCGATATGCAAGACTTTGCCAATCACATTGGGATATCGTTGATCCACGAATCCTCACTGGACGCAACAGACCCACCATGGGGCTATGGACATAGGCCCGGAGTCCCTCCACTCCCACCCGGCCAGCAGTCTAGGAAAAGATCCACTTCCAACCCGAGAGGGCACCACCAAGACAACACTTGAACCCGCTCACAAGGGTCATGGATTTCACCTTACTGAACGGCTGCTCACACATACCTCACAGATAAGGTTTTTTTGTTTTTAACAGCATAGTTACTAAGAATGTTCCAGTTTATATATCATGTTCTCACCGCACTGTTTAGATAGGAGGGACAGGGCCAGTTTAAAGGCTACACTTTGTTAACATGTATATAGCAAATTAAATTCCTCTACTGAGGCAGTGCGCCCAGAGTGGAGGACCTCCATAGGTGTAGGGAGTGTAAATAGACCTACCCAGGCCCCTTCCACTGACACTTATGGCATGCTGCAAGCCACGGAGGGAATACACCTGGTACCCTACCGCCCCTACTGGAGCCCATGACTCCCCAACTCAGAAGCGGCCTAGACGCCAGCACCGACCAGGGCTTAATATTATATTCCCCTAGAAGACTCCCTAATGCACGCTCAGAGGCTCCCATGCTTAAGTTAACTCGGGACCTCCCCCAAAGTGTGCCACACTAAAGATCCTTACTCCTGAATGTCCGTCACTCCCTGCCCCGATGGCAGCTTACAGCGAGTGTTGAATCCCTGATTTACTCCAAACCAGGGTCTGACCTAATATTCTAAGTGTTTAACCTCTGCCTTACTTTTTATGACTTATGCCTGTACCTGCTCATGAGGGCTTTGAACACTATATACCTGAATGGTTGCTCTCACATAACGCATGAGTTAAGTTTACCGATATCCTCACGACAGAGGTATTAATGTTGTTCCAGTTTCTCTGTAAAGTTGCATGTTTAGCCATGTTTTTTTATGACATTGTTTAGAAGTGGGGGACAGGACCTGTACCAAGATGACACCCTAATGATACGGGCATGACAAGTACACCACCCTTCCTGAGGCAGCACACCCGGAGAGAGTGACCTCTATAGATAGACGATAAGTGTACCCAGTCATTTTACAATAAGGGCTTGTTGCAAAACCGTGGCAAGGATACACCTAGCACCTAACCACCACTTTGGGGGCCCATGATTCCTTCAGATAGGCAGAAATCCAAGCACCCGCTCCGACCGGAACGCACTATCACACCCCTTTCGAGGGTTTTAACTCCTTCTCCCAAGTCCAGGGGCCCCCACACTTAGGATAAATTGGACCACACCCACAGTTAGCTATATTAATGTGCCCTCTCCCTGTATACCCGCCACCCTTCACCTCTATGGCAACTTACACCTGGACTGGATGACGGGCATGGATGACTCCCCAGGTGGGAGTCAGGGATGCAGCCTCATATTTTTACCCTCCGCTGTAAAGTTTACCACGTTACCGCTACCCTGCTCAACAATGGGACCACGGTCCATATCATGCAAATGCACCGGTCATCCAAGCCTCTCTTATATTATTATTATTATAATTATTATTATGATATTTATATAGCGCCATCAAATTCCGCAGCACTTTACAATGGGTGGACGAACAGACATGTAGTTGTAACCAGACAAGTTGGACACACAGGAACAGAGGGGTTGAGGGCCCTGCTCAATGAGCTTACATGCTAGAGAGAGTGGGGTAAAATGACACAAAAAGGTAAGGATAATATTAGACTAGTGACAGTTGCAGAAGAGGAATCAGTCAGGAGCTATTAACAGTTTAATTGATACGCTTTTATGAAGAAGAGGGGTTTTTAAAGATTTTTTTTTAGGAGTGGAGACTGGGTGAGCATCTAACGGAGGAGGGAAGCATGTTCCACAGGAATGGTGCAGTCCTCAAGAAATCTTGAAGACGAGCATCAGAGGTGGGAGTACGGACAGAAGATAGACGTAAGTCTTCAGTAGATCGTAAGGGCCTAGACGGGACATACTTGTGTATGAGGGAGGATAGATAGGTGGGAGCAACATTATGTAGAGATTTGAAAGCAAGAACCAGAATTTTAAATTGAGCTCTATATTTTATAGGAAGCCAATGTAGGAACTGACAGAAGGGTGAGGCATGGGAGGTGCGGGCAGAAAGGAAAATGAGCCTCGCTGCCGCCTTCATTATGGACTGTAATGGCACAAGTTGGGAGCACGTAAGACCACTGAGAAGCGAATTACAGTAGTCAAGGCGAGAAAGGACAGTGGAATGGACCAACACCTTAGTCACATCTGGCGTTAAGTAGGGGCGGATGCGCACAATGTTTTTGAGATGGAAATGACAGGATTTGGCAATAGAATGAACATGAGGCTTGAAGGAGAGGTCGGAGTCAAAGAGAACACCTAGGCAGCGAGCCTGTGTGGTGGAGCTGATGGTAGCACCGTTGACTTGGAGGGAGGGAGACACAGGAGTAACAACACTTGAGGGAGGAACGACCAGAATTTCAGTTTTGGTCAAGTTTAGTTTAAGGAAGTAGGCAGTCATCCAGTTAGAAATAGCAGAGAGGCAGTCAGATACACTAGTCAAGAGGGATGGGGAGAGATCAGGAGAGGACAAGTAGATTTGCGTGTCATCTGCATAGATATGATATTGGAAGCCAAAGGAGCTAATGAGTTTACCAAGGGAGGCAGTATAGATGGAGAACAGAACTTTGGGGGACACCAATAGGACCCCCAAGACCAATATTTAACAATAGCGTGCCAAATTGGACCCCAGAAATATGCCTTCACCTCAGTTTACGCGACTAAAGTAAGCCCACCTCTCGCTCTTCTTCTCACATCACCAGATTGTAGGGGGTGACTACAATGCTCCCTTGTCTCACTCAATAGATAAACACAGAGCCAAATCTACCTCAAAACACTGACTGCCTACAGCTAAATCGGATAAACTCTTCCAAACCTTTGTATCCCGCATACGCCTCCTAGACGCCTGAAGACTACAAAACCTAAATTCCCGAGATTACACTCTCTTCTCCCACCCCCACCAGTCACACTCTTGAATAGACCTATTCTTGATATCCCCCAGCCAATGCTCACATCCACCTCCATAGGCTCCATCACATCGTCCGGCCATGCGGACATTATGCTACAACTCACTTTACTTGACATACACAGAACATGGACGTGGTGCCTCAACCCCACTCTAATACATAACCCGACCATGAGAGATTCTATCTCCTAAGCTATTTTGGAATATTTCAGTTTAAACAAATACTCAGTCACCTCTAAAGGGTCCCTATGGGCGGCATATAAAACGGTCCTTAGGGGCACAATGATCAGCTTAGCCAACCCACAATAAAAAACAACGCATTGCACGCCTTGAACACACTCTCGCAGAACTACGCACCCTGGAGACTAAGCACAAAAGTAATCCCACCCCAGAATTAAACACCAAAATTTCTCAATGCTAAAACATGATCAAAGATTTCATGGCTAGGGATTCCGCGAAAGCCCTACAATGGACCAGGCAACTTTATTATGAAAAATCCCCCAAAGCTGACACTTTCCTGGCACGTGAACTCAAGCATAGATCGAACCGAAAACACACAGGCAAAATCAACTCCACTGACAGCACCCATGACCTACCAGATTGTATAGCTACTATCTTCCAAGAATACTTCCCACCCTTTATGACCACAGCCCACACTTTCGCCTCAAACTGGGACGAGTAACATCACAAATAGATACATACCTGGAATCAATTAACCTGCCCTATCTCACCCCCGTGGGCGCCAACCAACTGATAACACCAATCATGCCAGAAGAAATAACAAACACATTAAAAACTCTGAAACCAAACAAATGCCCGGGACCGCAAGGGTTCTCAGGCCTTTATAATAAAACATTCACTCCCCTATTGATCCTGCACCTATGCAACCTCTTTAACTCCCTACTAGAGGGCGATCCACTACCTCCAGATATGTTACAGGTGAACATTTGCCTTTTCCCTAAACCTGACAAGTCCCTCCTGGAACCGGGTCATTATCATCCCATCTCACTGTTAAATGTGAACATCAAGATATTCACCAAACTCATCTTATTTGCGCTATCCCTCAAACTACTATTACAAACGCCCCGCACACAGATTAACATCTAAGGAATTTTCATCAGGGGCAAAGAATACAAAATAGCCGCATATGCGGACGAACTGTTACTGACAATAACGGATCCCATGAACTCCGTGCCCCCACTTCTAGCAGCCCTACAAGAATATGCCAATGTCACTGGATATAAATTAAATGTGGATAAAACAGTAGCACTCCCCATACAGGTCTAATCACAAACCCTCAAGGACCTTCAAAACCTATACCGTTTAGATTCCAATCCGCTGCAATTAACTATCTGGCGCCTTACTACCAGCTGACCTATCCCAAACATACCACTGTAATTATATCCCATTACTGCACAAAGCCCACCAAGGTTTAAACATGTGGAACACTATGCCCATCTCTTGACTAGGACGCTTAGCGTCCGTAAAATTAACCTCCTTCCAAGGTTTCTATATCTTTTCCAGGCCCTTCCTGTGCCGATCTCACAGCAGGATTTCAAAACGCTGGGTAAGGCCAATGAGGAACACAAACCTTTTCCCCCCCTCATCTCTAAACTATCCTACTATTCCACAATGTATCTTCGGCACATTTTAATATCCCCCCCATCGATCCTGTATTACCCCATCCACTGTTATAGGAAATGTACCTCCCACACCAAACCCCACAGTATTATCGCAAACTACTCCATGACATGGTTGAGGGCCCAGTACGCATTTCTTACGTCGGACAAGCAGGAGGGGAAACCTGGTCATCCCCTGGGCTTGCACAACAGGGCCTACCAGGAGGAACCAGAACAAGACAAACCCCCTTCTCCTACCCCCCTCTTACAGCATGGCGACGACCAATGCTGTGTACACTGAAACACCATAGACTACAGTGATGCCATCATAGTAGCCATAGACACTAACATCAGGGCCACAAACGGTTATGAACCCTATAATTTACCGGTATTGATGGACCCCCGTACAAGCATAGTCTACAAAAGCGACAGTCATAAATGAGTTTCCCCTTTTGTGCCCTCTACTTCTTGTACCCCCTCCCCACCTATGACAGACCATAACAAATTAAGACAACTTTACTACAGTAGAAGCTTTACTCAAAATGTACACAAGTTAAATTCTGCATAAACCGCTGTTTGTACAATCTGTAGGAATATCACGTTGTAACAAAAGAATGCGGTTTGTGGGGTTTATGGTGGTTATGGTGTTCCAGTACAGTGCTTATGCTGCTCACAAGTACTAGGAAGCAGTGATTGATGGAGGTACCCAGTCGGGGTGCCAGGCGGTCCATCACAGCCTACAAATAGTAAATACAGTTAAATTAATTGTTCATGAAGGTATATATAACTGATATAGCCAAATTTTCAGTCTCTGTACTGCTAATGTAATGCTGATATTAAAATGGTAGATTGTATTCACCCCTCCCCTCTTCCTGACAGTAGGAATGATATGACTCATTGAAACATCCTGTACTGTTTGGAAGCAGGGAATGAGTTTACATTTTCAGCATCTTTACAGGCATTATAGCAGTAACTAGTGGTTTCTGACAGAAACATTATTTTCTCTATAGGCTCATAATAATAACTATTGTATAAATGAGGCTTTATGGGCTTATTTCATACTGCAAAATACATGAAAATAAAAAAACTGTTGCATGATTCCTCCTCAATGAAATGAGGACATGGTGGCCCTGGACTGGAGATGAGAAGTTAAGATCTTAGCATTTATGTTAAAGTGAATCTGCCATCAAAGGTTTACTTTAAAGCAACAGTCTTAATCCCTAAATCCCTTCAGCTTGCTAAAAAAAAAGTTTTGATTTTAATAGAAATTGTCACTTTTATAATTTACAATAGGCTTATATGTTAGTGATATTAACATATATCACATATTAATAATTAATAAAAGAAACAAGAAAAACTGAGAAAAAAAAGGTAGAACGACCCAAGACGACCCAGCCTGCAGTGTAGAGGAAAAGCGTCCTTTTAATATGCATGCCATATGAGTCAAGTCATATCCCAGGACGACCCAGCCTGCAGTGTAGAGGAAACGTGTCTTTTAAATATGAATGCTATATGAGTCAAGACATATCACCTGAAAAAGCCGCCGAAGCGTAGAGACGCGTTTGGAAATAACTGACTCCCACTACTGGCATCCAACCCACATGAGGCATTAGCAAAGTCGGGATTGGAGAAGATATAACTGACGAATACTCAGGTTGCTAAGCACATCGTATAAGGTCTGCATTCAAACTGTTTTCATGTACCCAAAAAGGATTGCATATGTTTTTATGAATTGCACTTACGGTATTAAAATAATGATAATATTCTAATAAAAGGAAACCTTTTTTTTTTATAAATTCGTTTTTTCAAAGATTTTGTTTTATGGGGAAGGGGTACAGAAATTAGAGTCGGGGGTAAATTGTATAACACATACAGGTGATACTCGAAAAATTAGAATATCGTGCAAAAGTTAATTTATTTCAGTAATGCAACGTAAAAGCGGAAACTAATATATGAGATAGACGCATTACATGCAAAGCAAGATAGTTCAAGCCGTGATTTGTCATAAGTGCGATGATTATGGCTTACAGCTCATGAAAACCCCAAATCCACATTCTCAGTAAATTAGAATATTACATGCAATCAATAAAACAAGGAGTGTACATAGAACAATATTGGACCTCTGAAAAGTATAAGCATGCATATGGACTCAATATTTCGTTTGGGCCCATTTTGCAGCAATTACTGCCTCAATGCGGCGTGGCATGGAAGCTATCATCCTGTGGCAGTGCTGAGGTGTCATGAAAGACCAGGATGCTTCAATAGCGGCCTTCAGCTCTTCTACATTGTTCGGTCTCATGTCTCTCATCTTTCTCTTGGCAATGCCCCATAGATTCTCTATGGGGTACAGTTTAGGCAAGTTTGCTGGCCAATCAAGCACAGTAATTCCCCGGTCATTGAACCAGGTTTTGGTGCTTTTGGCAGTGTGGGCAGGTGCATAGTCCTGCTGGAAAACGAAGTCAGCATCCCCATAAAGCTCGTCTGTGGAAGGAAGCATGAAGTGCTTCAAAATCTCCTGGTAGACGACTGTGTTGACCCTGGACTTAATGAAGCACAGTGGACCAACACCAGCAGATGACATGGCTCCCCAAATCAACACAGACTGTGGAAACTTCACACTAGACTTCAAGCATCTTGCAGTGTATGCCTCTCCATTCTTCCTCCAGACTCTGGGTGCTTGGTTTCCAAATGAGATGCAAAAGTTGCTCTCATCAGAAAAGAGGACTTCGGACCACTGAGCAACAGACTGTTTTTCTTTAGCACAGGTAAGACGCTTCTGACATTGTTTGTTGTTCAGGAGCGGCTTGACAAGAGGAATACGACATCTGAAGCCCATGTTCAGGATCCGTCTGTGTGTGGTGGCTCTCGATGCACTGATTCCAGCCTCAGTCCACTCCTTGTGAAAGTCCCCAACACTTTTGAATGGCCTTTTCCTGACAATCCTCTCCAGGCTGCGGTCATCCCTGCTGCTTGTGCATCTTTTTCTTCCACACTTTTCCCTTCCACATAACTTTCTATTAATGTGCTTTGATACAGCACTTTGGGAACATCCAACTTCCTTTGCAATTACCTTTTGAGGCTTTCCTCCTTATGGAGGGTGTCAATTATGTTTTTCTGCACAGCTGTCAGGTCAGCAGTCTTCCCCATGATTGTGATTTCTACTAAACCAGACTGAGAGACCATTTAAAGGCTCAGAAACCCTTTACAGGTGTCATGGCTTACTTAGCTGATTAGAGTGGGACACTGTGAGCCTAGAATATTGCACTTTTTCACAATATTCAAATTTACTGAGATTGTGGATTTGGGGTTTTTATGAGCTGTAAGCCATAATCATCGCACTTATGACAAATCACGGCTTGAACTATCTTGCTTTGCATGTAATGCGTCTATCTCATATATTAGTTTCCGCTTTTACGTTGCATTACTGAAATAAATTAACTTTTGCACGATATTCTAATTTTTCGAGTATCACCTGTATGTGTTATACAATTTACCCCCGACTCTAATTTCTGTACCCCTTCCCCATAAAACAAAATCTTTGAAAAAAAGAATTTATAAAAAAAAAGGTTTCCTTTTATTAGAATATTATCAATATTTTAATACCGTAAGTGCAATTCATAAAAACATATGCAATCCTTTTTGGGTACATGAAAACAGTTTGAATGCAGACCTTATACGATGTGCTTAGCAACCTGAGTATTCGTCAGTTATATCTTCTCCAATCCCGACTTTGCTAATGCCTCATGTGGGTTGGATGCCAGTAGTGGGAGTCAGTTATTTCCAAACGCATCTCTACGCTTCGGCGGCTTTTTCAGGTGATATGTCTTGACTCATATAGCATTCATATTTAAAAGACACGTTTCCTCTACACTGCAGGCTGGGTCGTCCTGGGATATGACTTGACTCATATGGCATGCATATTAAAAGGACGCTTTTCCTCTACACTGCAGGCTGGGTCGTCTTGGGTCGTTCTACCTTTTTTTTCTCAGTTTTTCTTGTTTCTTTTATTAATTATTAATATGTGATATATGTTAATATCACTAACATATAAGCCTATTGTAAATTATAAAAGTGACAATTTCTATTAAAATCAAAACTTTTTTTTTAGCAAGCTGAAGGGATTTAGGGATTAAGACTGTTGCTTTAAAGTAAACCTTTGATGGCAGATTCACTTTAACATAAATGCTAAGATCTTAACTTCTCATCTCCAGTCCAGGGCCACCATGTCCTCATTTCATTGAGGAGGAATCATGCAACAGTTTTTTTATTTTCATGTATTTTGCAGTATGAAATAAGCCCATAAAGCCTCATTTATACAATAGTTATTATTACGAGCCTATAGAGAAAATAATGTTTTTGTCAGAAACCACTAGTTACTGCTATAATGCCTGTAAAGATGCTGAAAATGTAAACTCATTCCCTGCTTCCAAACAGTACAGGATGTTTCAATGAGTCATATCATTCCTACTGTCAGGAAGAGGGGAGGGGTGAATACAATCTACCATTTTAATATCAGCATTACATTAGCAGTACAGAGACTGAAAATTTGGCTATATCAGTTATATATACCTTCATGAACAATTAATTTAACTGTATTTACTATTTGTAGGCTGTGATGGACCGCCTGGCACCCCGACTGGGTACCTCCATCAATCACTGCTTCCTAGTACTTGTGAGCACCATAAGCACTGTACTGGAACACCATAACCACCATCAACCCCACAAACCGCTGCAGCTTCGTTGGGGTCTCACCGTCCTCCCCACACCCTGGACCCAAGACCAGGATCCAGATTCCAGTGGGTAGACCTCTCTTAGTCCAGAGAGCGTAGCAGGAACAGCTCTTATAAGAGCTAGTGATTATACTCAGGGGAGTATTGTGATATAGCAATCCCAGGATGTATGTAGTTCTCCAATCCCCCAAACATGAGCCAAGACTTCATGAAGAGATAAACAAATCTCTGTTTAATTGGAGCCATGCACCTGATGGTAGACTGGTTTGCTACTTCACAGACCAATAGCAATAAGGTTACAAGGCACGACACTCCCACACACAGCACACAATCCCTCCCCTCTGCCTGGCAGATAATTGGATCAGTAACTGTACTAATTTTAATCCAATTATCTCCAAGCACAGAAAAAAACATATACTTTTTAAAAACACCCCAAAAGTACCCTAAAAATACATGAAAACCCACAAACCCCACACCCTGATCTGGGTGACCAACATATCCAAAAATCACCCAGATCGGTTCAGGGGTTCAGGAATTTCCTGGAAGTCTTATTTTTGACCGACCCTGCACA